ACACTATGGATCCCAATTCACTCTCGGATCTTGTTCATCATCATCACCACCTGCGGTCATCATTCGGACTGTTGGCATCACAAAGACGTCTTAGTCATAGCTCTGAGGTCACGGGTTGGATAGTCGTAGGTGATATTCGGGAGCCTCCATACTTGCTTAGTGAACTGTGCTGTTTTTAGGGGTACTTGGAGGTCTCCTCGTACTAGCCCTTATTGGCTGCGCCTTATACGCTAAACGGATGCCCGCCGATGTGGGGACGCAGATTTGCCGATGTGGTGGCTGCCGCCGTCGATTCAGAGTATCGGCTAGTATCCAGTCTGATACATTTATGTGCCGAAGGTGAAGTTGCGCGAGGAGTGGTATGACTTTCGATCAATTCGGCTTTCAGATGTATTCGGGAAGGCCGTAGGAGAGCGAGTGAGGTTGAAGCTGAGGAAAGGGAGAAGCGCCTAAATTCACTCAATAACGCCCCTAAGAGGGTAGGTCTGTTGTAGATCTGACTGTTGGGATCACCATTCACTTCAGGTCATGACGCTACATCGTGTGAGCTCGCATTTCTTCCGTATGAAATCGAAAGTCTTCGGAATCGAATCGTCATCGGACAGTCTATCTGATACTACCGAGAACCACACCAGGAGCAACAGTAGGACAAATTTCAATATACGTCGTGGCTTCACGAGAGCTGTCGATGCTGGACAAGTGGAAGTAGGCTCATGTGGAAGTCGCTCGCTTTCCAAAGCTGTGCTTGGCAGGTACCCGACAGTGAACAGTGTAAAATTTGTTTCGACGCCGAGGCCAGAGTGGTGCTATTGCCGTGTGGACATGGAGGACTTTGTGAAGGCTGTGCTAAGGTAGTGTCATATGCCTATGAGCCATTGAGTGCTTTGTGATGATCTCGGAAGGAATAGTAGTAGGAGTTGTATTCTAGGTTGCGTACACCTCATTGTGGCGATGCCTTCTCTCTTCAGGATCTGATAATGGCCTCGAGCGAATGTTATATTTGCCGTCAACCAGTTAAACTCATTGCTAAGCTAGGTCGTAAGGCAGTGCCGCGAGCGAATAGTACGGTGAGTGCAATAAGTAGACAAGTGTCTGGTATGAGTGCTGACAACTACCTGGCTGAGGTGGTTGGTCCGGACCAACTACACCATCTCGAGAGCCGTCGTGCTGCTGAGCTCCAGCAACAGCAACAGCAGCAGGGAAACAGGTTTGGGGTTATCCCATCTGAGCCCTCGCAGTCTACGATCCGGCCTCTCCAGGCGGTTGGCAGTACTGGGGAAAATCTGTCTATGGGCACTCCTGCTGTAGCAGTGGAAATGTCTCAGCTGAATGACGATAATACGGCACCACTACAACGGACTGCGAGTGTAACAGCCACGAGCTCCCCAGAGAGGATGGATGCTGCAGACGGAGCTTCTACTTCAGCTGCACTCGACCCTAGTGCTATGCCTAGGCCTCCGAGGTTGCCGACAGGTAGTAGCGTAAGATGAGGTATGGCAGTGTAGATGGTGTGTCCTTTGCGTAGGGGCTGCGGAGACTGGAACTCTCGGTGATTTACCGTTATGTGAGAGTGGTGAGAGTCAGCCTGAAGAGGAGGCGAACCCCGCGTCATCACCTCCTGGAGTGAGCACACCTCCGTCTAGGGCGGTGACGACTGGACAGGGAACTGCACCAGACGTAACTGGTAAACGTTACTAGAGTTTGATCATTATGGGCTACCGTGAATTATGCGTACTATAGTTGGTAAAACGCCATCGTGAACACTCACAGTCGCTGCTATAACTCTGCAC